GAAAGAGAGAGAGAGAGAGAGAGAGAGGTGATGCCAAGCCAAGCCAGGAGGAGGAATTTAGGATCGCTGCTTTTCGTTTTTCCACTTCAGATCAAGCCAAACCAGTCAGATCGCCCTCCCTGCCCAACCTTGCAGAATGCATCTCAGGGCTGGGCTCTTCCTTTCCCCCAGACAAGGGGGTGGAAGGTGGAAGCGTCCCGGAGAGGGTCTAGTTGGACCCCTGCCCTGGGTGGTTCGACTCCCCCCCAAAGCAGGCCCTTTGGGGCACTCTCTCGCACGACCCAAAAGCCACCCTCCCCTCCCGCCGGCCCGCCCTGGGGTTTTTTGTATCCGCCACCCTCCACGCCCCTGCCAGCAGCCAATCTTAAATTCTGAGCGAGGCCCCGAGGCCTCCGTGCGTGGGACCCGTGAGAGCGTCTACTCGGCCGGCTGCCCCACGGAAACTCACAGTTTGTCCCTACGAGAAGCAGAGCGGTTTGAGAGAGAAGGGGAAAAACAATAACAGCAAACGTTACTCAGCGGTTCCCTCCCCAGCCGGGGGGGGGGAAGAGAGGGAACCCCCCCAACACAGAAACAAAGCTCGGCGGAGAAAAGGAAAGCGAGCCCACCGTACACATGGCGACAACAGAGAGACCCATGGGGGGGAGACGGGGGTGGAAAGGAGGCGCCCGCTGAATCGGCGATGCAGCCAAAGGAGAAACCCAGAATCGGATCTTGCGGATATTCGGAGATGGACGCCGGCGTCCCCAGCCTGGCCGAAAGCGCCGGGAGAGTGGACCGCTGGGTTTTTCTCTTCCGCCACCACCACCCCAATCGAGGACACACGGAGCCACCCCACGGGGAACGCCCGCCCGTTTGCCCCTTGCCCTCCAGGCCGCTGGGAGGAAACCGAAGGTGCACGGACGACGGGGCCCCTCCACCCCTACCTCTCACAGACGCGCACCGTCCAGGCGGCAATGATCCAGGAGGAGATGCTGAAGACCAAGAGGACGGTGCCGGGGCAGATGGTCATCAGAGTCTTCATGACAAAGCGGGTGTTGAAGTTGATCTTGTTGAGGGCCCCGATGCTGCGCGAGGAGGCGTCGGTGAAGAGCTTGCTGTGGAGCAGCATGACGCGCCCGATCAGGTAGAGGCGCAGGAACATGGGGATGGAAAGGATGATGTCCACGTCCGTGTTGGCCTCCGAGGTGGCGTAGGTGAAGGCCAGGCGGGTGGTCCAGGTGAAGAAGTACTGGCCCGGGATGGGGTGGATGGCACAGACCACCAGCTCCAGGGTGATGAAGAAGATGCGCTCGTAGGTCATGGCGATCCGCCAGTCGTCCGCCCCGTTGTCCACCATGAAGAGCTGCGGCCACCGGGAGGGAGAGACACGTCGGGAAGGGGGGCGCGTTAATGGCAGATTTATTTGAGGGCCACCTTTGAAGGGCCGTTTGGGGCTCTCTGAACATGGCCTCCCACCCACCACGCTGCCCTGAGAGATGGGGAGGTGAGGAGGCCATGGATGGATGGATGGATGGATGGATGGATGGATGGATGGATGGATGGATGGATGGATGGATGGATGGATAAAGGAAGGAAGGAAGGAAGGAAATGATGGATGGAAAAAGGAAGGATCTAATGATGGATGAGAGGAAGGAAGGAAGGAAATGATGGATGAATGGATGGATGGACCTAACAACAAATGGATGGAGGGAAGGATGGAAGGAAGGCAAGTAGAAAGGAAAGTAAGTTTATATTTAAAAAATGAAAGATAAATGGATGGATGGAAAAAGGAAGGAAATGATGCATGAATGGATGGATGGACCTAACAATAAATGGATGGAGGGAAGGAAGGAAAGTAGACAGGAAAGTAAGTTTATATTTAAAAAATGAAGAATCAGGCTGGCCACTGGTCCTCCTAACCCTTACAGGTAGATTTCCCCTCTATATTTTGGCATGGCCCTGCCAGCTCCCCCCACAAAACCAGGTGGCAATTTACAGCCATCACTGAAAAGCCATTAGGCTGCCCTCTTAAAAAAATGAAAACCCATGACCGGTAAAAACAAAGGAAAAGAGCCCAAAGTTTTGGCAGTAGCTTCAGGGGCCGGTTTTAATTTGTGCCAGGGCGGAGGTGGGGAAAAAAGAGAAAGGAACTTATGAGAGCACAGCCCACTTCAGAGGGGATGGTGTCGTAGAGGTGGTATGTCTGGTTCCCCCAAAACTGGAAACCATCACCTGTTTTTCTTCCCCTTCTGTGATGCAAAGATCTGCCAAGCCCCCCCCCCCCAATCTGGCGGCTAAATTCACAGCCGACGCAGCGTGGAGTCACTGGCGCTGCAGACGGTCACGCTCCGAGACGCCTCTTGCGCGGCACCCTTCTCCGTCTGCTCGCGAAGGGCAGAGGAAGGGGACGGTGCCCCTCCGTTCACTTGCACGTGTGCGAAGCGACGAGATTTATGCCGCCTGTCCTGCGCGGCACACCCGTTTCCCCCTTGGACACAGACGTGGCTCCCTCCGCCATGCTGCAGGTGGGTGCCTCTGTGCGCCGCTGTGCCCCCCTCTAATGATCTTTAAATGGGAATTTAACATCCCACTGTGCCGAGCGCCAGACGCCCTCCAGGCACGGCACAGACGGGCACCTTGCGGTGAGGCCCCTCTCCGGCGCATCAGCAGCAGCTGAAACGGTCCGGCTGAAGGACGGCTCCGGATTCCAAGGAGCCCCTCGGTCACGGATGTCCATCTGGCGGCCCCCCCTTTTCCCTCCCCTCTCCTCCACGGCCACCGTCTTCAAGACACACACACACAACGGTGCACAACAGGGAAGGCACAGGCCTCCCAAGGCACGTTTGGAGAAAGATAAACGCCACCCTGCCTCAAGAGTTTACGCTTCTGCAAGGCAGGACGGAGCCGCTCGGAGAACTCAGCCACAGAAACCCGCATTATGGACGTGTTTCAAATCGTAAACGTTAAGTCTTCAAGGCCCCACTACACTCTCACTGGGTTTTTATCCAAACTGGAGGCGGCTGGGGGGGGGAATTAGATGGTGGTCACCAAACCAGGTAAATGAGGGAGAGAGAAGAGGGAGAGGATTAGAGATGTGTTCCCCACACCCACACCACAAAAAAACCACAAAAAACCCCACACTTCCTCAATGATCACAACTCCTTCTGTTTTCCACTGCCGTGGAAGAGACTTGACTCTGAAGGGCATCTCAGCCTTGCTCGCACATTCGCTCACTGGAGGGGGGGTTGAAACCCCCTCTCCCACCCTTGCTGGGGCTTTCCCTTCCCTCCCGCCTCTGCTTTCAGCCACGCCAACCTCTCGACAACCAGATTTAAATGTTCCCAAAACTGCGAGAAAGAGATGCAGAACCCTAGGATTTTTTTAAAAAAAGCACCACCACCACCTTGAGATGATGTTTGTGTGGCTGCTTCCAGATGGGTCGGGCTACCTCCTCACCCATCAGCAAGGGATGATGGGAGTTGTGATCCAAACACAGCTGGATCCCCCCAATTTCAAGAAGGCTGTTTTGAGAACATAACCAGAGACAGGCAAGCTGGTTCTCTTTTGTCCTGTTCCTCTCTGGTTCTGAGCACGCGCAGCACCAAAATGTCAACTTAGCTGGGAAGATGCCTTATTTCGCCTAAAAGGATATACTTCTGAGGAGGCACACAAGGACCTGGGCCAGGGGAACCGGGGAGGGGGAGAAACTGCCGGGGAGCGAACATGACGGGGTCTCCTTAAAAGAAACTGATGATCCGCAAAAGGCGCTCAACACCCGAGCTTGCCCCAATTTTCGCTATGCCAGGACGCAGAAGAGAAGGGCGCCAAACCTCACCTGGATCTCCCGCGCATGGTACATGATGATCAGCCCCAGCAGGATCATGGTGGAGAGGCTGATGAGGCATTTCAGAGCAAACGAGTAGGATGATTCCTAGAGAGGGAGGGAGAGAGAGGAGTCAGGCAGGAAAAGGACATTAAGCCACCTCGGATGGTCCTTTCAAGGAGAAAGGCAGGGTAAATCTATTTTAAATAGATAACTCATTAAATCAAAAATGGTACTCATCCTTCGGAAATTGGGCTTTGGACTTCGAAAAGCCAGAAGCCTCCAATTCTATTTCAAATAGATAACTCATTAAATCAAAAACGGTACCCATCCTTCGGAAATCGGGCCTTGGACTTCGAAAAGCCAGAAGCCTCCAATGACTTTCCTTCCCTGTTTGTTTTTCCACTGTTGTTACACGGATCAAATATGGGCAGATTTCAGAAACTCTAAGGAGTTTTTAACAAGGGAGGGTTGGGGCTTTTCATCGGCCCTTCGCCACGGAGGTGAGCACGTTCGTGTGGCCTGTCGGATTCCTGCCCCTCCTGGTGGCCCGATGGGCCTCCCTTACCTTTGTGTAGACCCCCCAGGACAGCTCCGTCTCGGTCACCATGACCACGATGCCGAACATGCCGAAAATGAGGGCGTAGTCACTCAGGCGCTTCCGCTTCTCAAAGAGGGCCCGGCGGTGGCCCAGCCGGTAGCCAATGTTCTGGTTCCGCTTGTGCCGGTGAGGAGGCTGGCCCTCCTCTGCCTCGGGGTCCCCAGAGCCGTCCGGCGGCGCTTTGCCCCCCCGCTCCGAGTTCGAAACCACCACCTCCAGGCCCGAATCCCGGAAGGTCTGGAGGGGCTGGGTCTCGGCCTCCGGCTCGTGGAGGTGGCGGCGGGAGGCGCTGAGGCTGCCGAGCGGCCGGACGACGCCTCCGTTGTAGCGGCAGCTGTTCATGGCTACCTGGGCGAAAGGGCTGGGTGGGCCGGCCGGGGTCTTGGCGCCACCATGGCTCACGAGGTGGGCATCAGAGTGGGCCTGGGAGAAGAAGAAGGGGCAGAGAGGGCAGGGGGTGGCAGCCGAGGGGAAGGAAAGAGGAGAGACAGAGAGAAAGAGTCACGCTTCCTTTTACGTGGTCTTCCCTTCGTAGAAACCCACCCTTCGGACAAAGGCCCACCCCTCTCCGGTCTCCATATTTTTTCCAAACTGTGCTAGGCCGTTCTGATACACGCCACCAAAATCTTGCAGCCCTTTTAAAATTCGCTACCGGCTTTTTCCAGCTGGTGGGAGCGCCCTCCTAGCTGGCCCCGGGGCCCACCGCTCGGCCCATCGCCACGCCGGAGGTCCTGGGAGTGTTTCTGCAACGTTTCACGTTCCCACAGCTTCTCGAGCGGGCGCAACCGGCTCTCTCAAGCTACACGCCATGCATCCCCCCACTTTAAAAAAACACACACACACAGAGAACGGGGCCACCATCCGGGAAAGCTTAAGCGGATAAAGGAGGCTTCTCTTTCCCCTCCAACTGCCCCACTCATGTGGAAATGCCATGCTCGGGTGTCACTGGGAGACGTGGAAACACGACAACACACACCACCCTGGACTTCTGATTGTCTTGGGGGACCCTTCCTGCACCTTCCCGGCGCTGGGGTGGCTCGGACAGTCCACAGTATCCCAAGCCAGAACACATACACACACCCAAGATCAGCAGGAAAAATCCACACAAACTAAGCAACTCTTTCCCCCAATTTTCCTTGCTCAAGGGCGCCCGGCATGGAAGGCTGTGTGCCAAGGAGACGGTTTTTTCCGTTTCTGCCTCTCCCTCATCCCCTCACGATTCCTTTTTGGGCCAGGACCTCCCTCTGAACCAACTCCCTGAATCCAGCATCAGATGGAGGGGTGCTGTAACCTCCCCCCCTAAAGCCATTCTTTTAGGCTCTGCTCGCAATTACTGTAAACCCACCAGGGAGTTTAACGCCATACTTTGGACGAACAAACCAATTTTTTGGTCAATGGCTTCTATTTTCTCCCACCCACCCCTCGATTGCTTACAAAAAACGAAACCCATGGGAAAGGCTTTCTCCTTAACCTTCCTGGGGGGGGGGTCCCCAGGAACACACAGCATACCCCTTCTGCCAGGGCATAACGGTACCAGACATGCATAACCCCTGGGGGGCTTCCGCCCTCGCCCCAGCTGGAGGGCTTTGTTCCCCCCCCCCACGCTGTTAAGGCTCCTTGCCACCTCGTCAAAGCGACAGGCCTGGCGCAGCTAATTACACCCTCCAAACCCCATGCTTTTGGCACGGGTAGTTCCTCCACTGAGATGTTCCCCCGCCCAGCACCCCTGGATGGAGTAATTACAAAGCGACGTGACTCAAGGATTTTTTTTTCCAAAGGGGGGGGGCGGCATCGTGAGAAATTTCCATGCACCAAAAACTCAGGAGTTGATGAAAAGTGTGTGTATTGGGGGCGGGGGGAGCTTCTGAACAAAAGAAGCACGCACGCACAGAAGAAAAGTGCATTTGCGTGCAGGAGAGTCTGTCCGTCCATCCATCCGTGGGGGTGGCGCCCAGAAAGGCGAACTTACCCCCAGCCCTTCCAACCCACGAAGGGTTTGAGGATTTAGCCTCTGAGCCCCCTTGCAAATAAATGCACCCTAGACGGGGACCATTTGTGGGGTCAATTGCCCCCCCCAGGATCTACAAACACAGCCAGCCCGTCCATCAATGCACTGAATATGAACGATAGATCTGCATTTAAATCTGGAGTGCTTTGGCTCCAGGCATTACACCTTGGCCCCAGTCGCTCCCTTTCCCTCTGGCACCTTCTCTTCCACCGCATGGATCCTGCCCCCTTGGCCTCGGCGACCTTGCAAAGGTGGCCGCAGACTGGAGTGAGCTTCGCTGGGCCCCTCCTGGGTGCTTTGGCTGGAGGGACCCGGGGAGACGGTAAATCTATTTTGCAAGAGAGGACGCCGGCGATCCCCCAAATCAGAGAGAGAGAGGAAATAAAAGGCTGGGGTTCAGACGGCTCTTTGCAGCCCCCATGAGCCAGTGGGCAGGGATGCCAAGAGGCTCACACACACACCCTTGAATTCCTGCCACAGCCACACGAGAAAGGCCGACAACTCTCTCCGACGCACACCCCTCGAAAGGCAGATTCTGACACCACGGGAAAAGCCACTTCCCAGACACATGCGCAGGGAGAAACATGCACACCGCCCGGGTTCCTGCATCGCGGCCACGCTTCCTGCCTCTTCTAGTTTGCCTGCCGGGTTCCTGGGCAGCAGCTGGTTTCATTTTTAAGAAAGAAAGGAAAATAAGGAGAAAAAACCCAAAGGTGAGAGATTCCTCCCACCCCCCACCAGCCCTGCTTCTCCCCCCTAACAAACTCTGCCAAGAGGCCAACAGGGTAGGGATCTGCTTAGAGGAACTTCTCATGGAGAACACAGACATGCGAGGGGGAAAGGCGCGTCCCCCCCCACTCAAGAACTTCGGCGAAAGCAGCATCAATCCCCACGCGCAACCAGAAACCACCACTGCATGGAGGCAAAAGCAGCCTTTTTGGGCCTGAACCCCCCCACCCCAAAATGCAACCTAGGGACCGAGATGAACTGCAAATACAAAGCAAAAAAAAACTGGGGAGGGGGGCTGCAACAGCGAGGGATTCCAGAGGAGGATGGGGAGGGGGAATGCCTTTTCCTCTCCTCACCCCTCCCAAAATCCTGCAGCAAAGGGGAGGCTAGGAACTGGAAGGAGGGGGGAAACAGGGGTGGTTTATTTGGCACCCCTTTGAAGAGGGTGCTGGAGGGAATAGCCCCCCCCGCCACCCCATCTTGACCTCTCCCAGGGAAGGGACCCACTGGCCAGGACAGGCATTTCGACTTTGGATCAGAGTTTTTTTTGGGGGGGGGAGAAGAGGGTTGAGCAGGAAGGAAGGACCGGATCCTGCGTCTCTTAGGCAACCGCATCCCTCCCGAGACGCCCGCATTCCAGAGAAGACCCAGGCGGGCTCCCAACGCAGCAGCTCCTGGTTATATATCCACACAAACAAACAAACAAACACACTCACACACACAC